AGAAGATACTTCTCTGAATCTAATGTTTTGGGTATGGATTTGAACTCGCACTCGCAATATGCATGAACCCCCAATCATAAACAACTTCGTTGATACTCGAGATTTCAAAGTCTCACTGGTCAGAAAAATCTTCTACGAAACAAAGCATTTTTTCGCAGTTATATGTTGACAATCAAGGACTGATCTATGGCATCTAGTCCCATGAATTTTGCTGTAGGAAGCAGAATCCGAGTTCTGTTAGTTTCCTTTGAGTGTGCCTTGAGAGAATTCTTGAGAGATAAATCACTACTGTAGTCATCATCGAAGATGTATGCAATCATAATTTCGCTGATTATGCTTATATTGTTTGTGTTTACCAAGCTCCACTTAATTGGAGTGATAAATAAAGGTTTTCATGCGTGAATAATTTTTGACTTCCTTCTTAAATGGCAACAACGTTTTCTTTTGAGCCAACTTTTCGGCTGTAATGTCTACCTCAGGTGAAATATAGAAATTTATGAGATGCTACTCCTACCTTCTTGAATATCTTTGCCATTCAGTAACGTGCTAGTACTTTATGCCAAACCAAAACAGAACAGAAGCAGTTAGAACTCGCTGAGTTGTTCTCACTCCGAGTCTTTCATAGTTGTTCGCACATGCAAGCCTTACGGTAAATTTCGATTATTTCTTATTGAGTAGCGTAACGTGAACAGTTAGCTTCGAATAAAGCTAGCAAACAAATCAGTTGCGAAGCAAACAGTACTTGCATAGCTTGTAACGAGGCGTATTTACAACTTTTTGATTTGTAGTAGCTTATTTCCTTTTGCATGGCAGATCACTCCAAAGGGACACAAAAGTTGTGGGAAAAGATTTCTGGCGTTTGTCATTCTTCCAATGTCTTGAGCGCAGTGGGTGGAAACGGAACCTCCACGTGTATGATTATCCTCTTTCACTAATCAGTTGAGCAATCGAAATGCGGCGAATAAGTTTGTCCAAGTAGCATTCAACGTGCTTCCTGACTTTCCCACTGTGATGGATGCATCTACTTTAGATCACAAAATGTCGTACCCTGAATTTGGCCTTCGAAACAAATATCTCGAGGATGTCAACGACGATTTTCTCTACCATTTTGGCATAGGAATCAAGACTGTTGATATACCGAAAGTATTCGGTGACACAAAAGTAAGAGCTTTGCAGATTATTAAGCTTGTTACGGGATAAAAAGACAATTATGTCTTTGTTTGCTTTTCTGTGTTAAAACGGCAATTATCTAATGGAATTTATAGAGTTTTCGGCCTTGAAAAATTTCAGCACAGTTATCCTGTTAATTTATCTTTGTTTCGTTCCATGTTTACATCATTTTCACCTGAAGACATTCTTGGTGTTGCATGAGATCCTCACATTTTTTCTTCTGTCTTTTGATCGCTGTCCAGATTGAACACTTCGAGGTTTTTTACAATTTTTCAAGCTGACCGTTCGCACAAATTATATTAGGTCGGTGCAAAAGT